TATATATATATATACATATATATGTTTGTGTGTACGGGAAGGCTTTACTATATTCGTACGTACCGCATCCAGAGGAAACACCATTGCCACACCCAGGCCACTCGCCACAGCCCCAATGACCAAATTTCGGCCCAAATCGCGCGCACTTATGAGTCGCCGTAAGTCATCGCCCCCAAACCTGTACATTTGAGCAAATACATGATCATTCTTAAGAATATAAAATACATGATCACACTTTCAGGAATTTGGGTTTTAGGAGACCACAAACGGGCAGTTGCGCGAGAGAGGCTTTGTGTATACGAAGGATAACTGTGGGTGAACAAAAGGTTTTGTGTATACGAAGGATAACTGTGAGTGAAGGTTTTCTGTATACGAAGGATAACTGTGAGTGAACAAAAGGTAGGCACGCCCTCCTCTGCACGCTCATAGCAATGGTATGGGAACACGCGCCACCGACGCTAGCTACTGTCGACAAGCCGAAACTAATTGACGCACGTGCTGCTGGGGTCAATCAGTAACGTGCGCTGAGTGTGTGTCACAGGTTGTGTGCGCGATGCATTGAATGCGCAGTCCCAATGAGGAAATCTCACACTATGCCAGCGCTACATTCCAGCACAAGACATACAGCAACCCTAAACCCTAGAACCGAAACGTTCACAAACAATCCGCTGATCCTGATTCTACTTCCTAAACATATAGAACATGCCCTACAGTGATGAGATTGCAATCCATGTTTATGCGTACCGGTTGGGTGCGGCACTGGCCATTTGCTCGTCCATGTCAATGGTCCCATCATCCAGCTGTAAGCAACACGACACAACACAACAGTGTTAGAGGACATCTACTAGTACGATCATATATAAGAAGTCACCTACTAGTAGAATGAATATGATAAGTAGTATGGTCATGGATGTGACGAAAATGTCTGGATACGGGGAGAAAGGCATGTGTGCAGATGTGCTAATACAGGCAGGAGAATGATATACGACCATACACACATGAGGTGCCTACACAAATGCACGTATTTACATTTACAACATGTAAATATACATGTAAATATAAAACATGTAAATATTCAAATACAACATGTAAATATACAACATGTAAATATAATACATGTAAATACACATGTAAATATACAACTCCATCGGCTCAACGCATCGGAATTGGGAAATACACGACTATAGCAATGTGCATATGTGTACAAGCACATACACATATGCACATACACAGATGGCGTTATCCCCAACGCCTATGCAGGCTCACTACAATCATGCATAACAACCAGATGAGTGCGCAGAAGTTTGCATACATGTAAATATCAGACACAGGTGAGTACCCAGAAGCATGCAGACATGCAAACGTACGCGAAACATCAGCCTTCCCAATGTCTCTGCCAGCAATTACATATGCGTCACAAACAGTTGAGTGCGCAAACGTATGCATACATGCAAGTACCAGACACAGGTGACCGCCAGCAAACATGCAGACATGCACATGTGTGTGAAACATCAGCTTTCCCAATGACTCTGCCATCACTTTCATGATCAGCAACCCCTCTAACCACATACTTTAAGCGTACGTTAAGCATACTATCTACAAACAATTCGCCTACAACTTTTAACTCTAAAACCCTATAGCCCAGCCCTAAAAACCAATAGTCCAGTCCTAAAAACCAATAGTCCAGTCCTGCAGGTACGCACCTTGAAGATCTGATGGGTCATTGGCGTGCTGATGATATTGTCCTTAAACGACGTCAGCGTAATCAGGCTCTTATCCTCTGACCCAAATAGATGGAAGCAGATGGTGTTTTCTAACGGCGTAAACGTATTGATAGCATGCGATCTAACCAAAGCACGGAATGTGTTGGCGTTGATGTTGGCCTCGGGGAACCGCCGGAAGGTAGCGCGCAACACTCTACAATTGTCCGGTGACGTGGAAATGTAACGTATTGCAACATAAGTACATCGGTATACGGAAAGGTACAGCATTGTAAAATAAGCAAATGTATATATGGATGTATAAATATAAATATAAATTTATAAATATATACATATATA